TGTGGCTGATACAGTTAGTCAACACTCTCAGCTACTAAACAGAAGGTGAAAGGCTGTGTCTCCCCAACTCACCTTGGAAGAAAAGTTTGGTGATACACTTCTGAAAAATTAACAACTGGAAATTTTATGAAGATTGGTGTATGTCTTACTGTGTATGATTTTTTACTAAAATATGAAAAGAAATACATTTATGTTCTAGATTTTAAAAAAAAAAAAGGACAACCTAACAGACCACAGTTCTATTTTGATGCCTGAGTCAAACTGACTCAACAGATTTTTTTATGTTGAAGTTAGAAAATTTGAAGCTCATTTTCCATCAAGGTAACCTCAGCATAAAGTAGATGCTTAACAGACAAAAGTTGAATAAGTCAATGAGTGAAATAAATAGCCTGTAGACCAAGGGCTGCTTCTGGAAATGTAGTTCTAGGGAACGGTTGCAACCACCTAGTCATGGCATTCCACCCACAATACTTAAAAAGGTTTAGGAGTAGGTCTTACTTGGAGAGAGGTTTATAAGTTCAGCAAGTTTTAAACATTAAAAAGTTAGTTTCCTTATGAAGTAACGTAGCGTCAACCTTCAAAATAGCCCCTCTGTTAAGTCGTTGAGAAGGCATTTAAACATTCATGTCCAAATGGAAGCTAGAAGAGAGGTGCAGTCCCCTCTAAAAGTACATGCCTTGCCCTGTTATAGTTTAAAATGGTTGTTCACAGACTCACCAAAGGTGGCCAGACACTCCAGGAAGCAATCTACCCAAAGGACATCAGAGAAGAAATGGCCACCACTTTTAACACTATTGTTCTTTTCTGATAACATCTGTGGTTTTGACCTGGCCAAGAAAGTGTAACTAGGAAGCAGATCAGAGAACAGAGAGAAAGAGAAAACAACAATTTCCACAGCACTGAAGCAATTAGATGAAAATGTGCTGTAAACCAATGGGCTCTTCCTGTTCCTCTGTGGGGGTGGGCGATGGTGGAAGAAAGGGTTGTTCCTCCAGGGAGACACTCTTTGAAATTCCATTCCCAGCCCCTCTGGCTCTACCATTACCTACTGGAGGCATTTTCTCAGAGTGGGGAGTCCTTCCACAGTGCTCTCATTTTAAAAACATATCTTCAATTGTGGGAGGACAATTTAAAGCCAAAAGTTAATAATGAACAAGACATTATACTTTCAAAATTCTCTGAGAGTTTTGTGTTTTGATGTTACTCACTGAGGACGGCATGAGTTTGTTCTAGTTGAATGGTAGGGGTGGTGGTGGTGGTGTTTCCAGTGCTGTCTAGGGGTTTCTGGCTCACAGCTCAGAATACTACCTGGTGTACAATAGAACAGATGAGTACCTGGTCTCTCCTCATGCTCATCACCTTTGCTTTGAGCTCACTGTTCTAGTCACTATATCAATCTCTCTTTTCAAGGATTAAATGGAGCTATAGCCACTTTCTGAAGCAAGTTCATTTTCAGAATAAAAGGTTAGCAATCAGCTATTACTTAGACCTGGTTTCATTTTCTGTTAAAAAAGTATGTTTTAAATTCTTTGGCATTTAAAAGGAGTTTGTTTTCCTATGGCAGGAACCTATTATTCCCTTTAATCAATAATATAAGCACAACAAAACACACCACTTCTCACCAAGGTGTCCTTCAAAGTTGGAGGAGGGTTTTCTCCCAAAAAGGAAGCTGAAACTGCACCTTTGCTCAGGATCAGCCCACCCTCTCCCAGCTCTCCTCTCCTGATGTCCTCCCACAGCTCATAAAGGCCCTTTATTGCCAATGTAACGCTATCCACTTAGGAAATGTATCCTCATGTTCCAAGGGTATTTTCCCCCCATTTGTTTTCTCTTCCAGCATTTGATCACTGACTGGTGAACTGCTTGGGCCCACAGAGATCTCCAGACCACCAGCTCATGTATTTGAAAGGCATCTGTTTATTTGGAAAATGCAAATGTGGCCTACCTCAAAGACTGACAGGCAAGAAATGACCCACTGAGCAGGGGAGAGGTTTCCAATCTGGAGGCCGGTCCCTCCCTCTATCAGGCTGTCAGCACCGCTTACACTAGCTCTCTCGGATTCAGAACTGAAGGGCCCACAATTAAAAAGAGCAGGCTCAGCTCTCAAGAAAGGCAAAGCATTTCTCACCCGGTTTAAAGTAAGCAAGGGGTCATATACAAAGGGTCTTTGAAATGGTGGCTCCCTTGTAAATGTAAACACAGGGTTGCCTGGAGGAGGATCCTATCACCTACAACAGGACATTGGCCTCCTGACTTGTGGACACCCAGTTCCAGGGACTGATTCTAAGAGGAGCAAGCCCAGGAAGGTTAATACCCTGACTTTGATCTCTGTTGAGGCATACCAGCAAGAATTAATTTACATTTCAGATGAAAAAGGTTGACAGCATGAAAAGGCATCTTGTTTCTGGTATGTGAATGTGCCGTAATAGATCGGGAATTCTGAAAGGAAGTTCTGAGGAAGCTAAAGGGATAAGCCGAGCGGCTGCTTTTATTGGGAAGGAGATGAAAGGAAAACAAATTTCAATATGCGTGGCTCTGTAGCAACATGTAGGCCAAATGCTTCCTAAATTTCAAGGGCTGCTCTTTTAAAAATATATATCTTAGCACCATTAAAAAAAAAAAAAGAATATGGGCCAGAACTAGAAATACAAATGAATCCCTCGGAATCTAAATTTCAAATAAAATGACTTGTTTGAAAAAAAAAATCAGAGAATAATCTTATAAAATAACCATGAATAGTTAGGTCAAGATAATATCCCTCGGCCACTTTCCACAGGCTCTAAAAGTAAAGGACTGCCATGTCTAGACCTTGTTTCATCCTAAAAAGTCTCAGTGACACCAAGAGGATCTTGTAATGAGAGGATTATGCTATAGAATGATAATGACCCAAAAGAGAGGAGACAGGCAGAATTGTATTGCTTTTTGGGTAAACACAACCATTCCTTCTAATTGAAAGATAAGGGAACATGTTCTTAAGTCAATTGCCCATAAAATTGCCAGCACTATTACCCTATCCGTGGTTACCCGTGAAACCAAACCAGTGCCACAATTTCTGCTCATGATATTGGCTGAAAGGCAAAGAGAATGCTTTTGCTCTGGATGCCACACTCCTAACAAGGCTGACTGATGATGGTTGTATCAACTCCCATGTTTTCATGCTTCTCAAAGAACCTAAAGACTAGGCTGGTGGAAGTTTCCATAGCCAACAGATGGGGGACATTCTGTCAGATAAAGAAAGGGGGTGTTTGCCCAGCAGTGACAGGAAGGATGCCTCAAGAAAAGTGTTCACTCTGTTGCACTCAACAAAATGGCCCTCCCCGGGTACGCTGGAGGCGCTCCACTGAATAGATACTATTGTGACTGTCTTGGCTTCATGAAGAGGTAAGCGTGCTTCTATTTTTATGCAGCATCCACTTGGCACAGTGCAAAATACAGAGTATAAAATAACTCATTACCATTGAATAGGGACCAACTCACAGCTGACCTATTTAGTTTCTGAAGCTGTAAATTGCACAGAAGGAGATTGCCCATCCTTCTTCTGCAGAATCATTCATAGAGTCATACTGCCAGAGAGGAGCAGCCTTTGGGTTGGTGATGCGACTCCCTATGGACTATGTCACCAGAATTCCCCGACTATAAAGCAAGTAGTCTTATGGTTTTCATTGGGAAAATTTGATCCATGGCTTTTGTATATTGATCTCAGTGCATCACCAACATAAAAGACAAAAGTTTATATTTTAAAACACATGCTAGGCTTTGGGTCAAAATATAAGATCAGCTGTCAATTCCTTATCTCCTGTCTCCTTCATGTGTTTGGGGTGTGTGTGTGTGTGTGTGTGTGTGTGTGTGTGTCTGTTAGGAGGTAGGCAGTAGGAAGCAAATGTACTCTGAGTTGTATTTCATATGCTACTATAAAAATTGCATCCCTCTTCCTCACACTTTGAAGTTATAGGGCTTAGAATTCTTAGAGAAGGGTGTTAAAAGTTAACATCTGCAGCTAAATGACATCCCACTCTCCCAAATATTTTCAGTTGGAATGAAGATGTCAAGCTACCTAAAATGTCCTAACAGAGTCTTGTGAAGTGCCCCTTTGCACTGGTTCTGGACACCACTGGACCTCCTGCAAAAGCCTGCAGCTGTTTTGTTTAAGAATTTGCCTGGAGCCCAGCACTATCTGAAACCCTATCCCTCCCCCTGCTGCTGAGTCTGCTGGACTGGCCACCTCTCTCATTCCATCTCTAATTTCCTGCACTCCCAGAGCTCCTGGTGTGTTCGCTGGTCTGTTTCTTCCAGAGTGTCAATTAGACAATGAGAGAGGGAGCCTGGCCTGGCAGCCACCATGAGGGCTGCCATTTGCAGGAGATCAGAATGGCCAGAGAGCCAAGAGGCATGGGGAAGCCAGTAACTAGAGCTTGCAGGTTTCCACCACGTCTGCTGAGCTGTCACTTACACACCTCAAGGGGCCCCGGGGAACATACTGGCCACACAGAGGCTTAGGTTTGGAATGCTCCTTAATTAGAGATGTTCTCAGATAGAGTTATTCCCATAGCAGTAATGCTGAGAGACAAACGTTGGATATACTTAGAAAATCCCAGGGTTGGAAGGCACCCTTCCAGGTCTTTATTTCACAGATAAGAAGAGTGTGAGTTCAAGAGGGAAAGTGTTGTGCTTAATTGACAGTATTCAAAATTGGCTTTATATCTACACCACCTGTGTTCAAATGCTAACCCAGCAATTTGTTACCTGAACGACTTTGGGCAAGTCTCTGCCTCCTTTTTTGCTCTATATAATGGGGAGTGGAACAGTACTTACCCAGATCACCTTAGCAAAGCGCCTGCATCATCCAAGAACAGTTGTGTCAGAAGAAACACCAGATCCATAACCACTTGACTCATATTCCAGTGCTCTTGAATGATTAACTTTTCTACTTGCCTAAGCTCACAAGAACTTAATCACAGAACATTTTCAAATGGACACTGTGAAAATGATGTTTTAATTACCTGCTTGAATATGAACAGCAGACTCACTCCTTCTGTTGCTTATTTTCTTAAATTTCCTCCGCGCATCATATCCTCTCCAAGCTAAAAATATAAAACCATGTGCTAGGAATGACATTAATTTAAGAACGTGCCAGAGAATTGATATAAGCTGTTTCCCTTTCAATCTAGTATCCCTTCTTCTCCTCCCTCCTGTTTTCTTGCTAAACAAAATAAGCAGAGAGCCATGTGCTCTGGTGAGGAAGTGGGGCCGCTGGTCCTCAGCTTTGATTTGCAGAGTGGCTCAGGCAATGAATTCGAGATCATTCAAGGTCCCATGTAGGATGCGGTCTGGGAATCATATCTAGGTGAGGTGGTCCTCTGTTATCCCAACCCCTGCAATAACTCCTGATTTCAGTATTAGGGAGTGGGGAGTTAGGAAGTTAATGGAAGGAACTGGGATGGCTTGATCTTTTCATTTGAGAGAAGAGGTATTAACATGACCGTTGACGAGAAGAGAAAAATTTATAAGGAGGTGGATTGATTCAGTGACTGGGGTAAGGGGGTAGGTGTGTTGGAGACAGTGAGATTGGCACAGGATAGAGCAGGGTTTAGGGCTCTTGTACATAGAGTCGTTATGTGTTGTAGGCGACTTGATGGCACATAACGACAACAACAACATTAAAGGGGCGCTCTGGTGGCTTAGTCTGTAGGGAGTTGCTCTGTAGGGAGTTTCTCCTCTGGAGAAAAATGGGGAGGAGAAAAATGGTCAATCTCCTCTTGTGCAATTTACAGCCTCTTAAAATTGCTGGAGACCAGCTATGAGTCCATTCTGACTCAACAACACATAACAACAAAAGAAAATTTTAAAAGGGAGTAATAAGTAGCACAGTAATACCATTTGTTGAGGGTGTGCCTGGAGGGAGCCCAGAGCTGCATTAAGCTAGGGAGGGGGAATTGTGTGATGGCAGGAGAAGCCTGATGAGGAGAAGTAAAAGAGAAAGTGGAAGGGGCTGTCTGGGGGTGTTTGGAGGCTTTTAGATGCAGAGTGAAATGAAGCCACCCATGAGGAGTATGGGTGTCTCTTTTTCACTCCTTCACCCTGACCTAAGTGTCATCACTTTCGAAGTTATTGAGTGACACTTGAGATTCTGAGTGGACTGAGGCACCTCTGGTTCTAGGCTATAAAAGCACCAAAGAAATGTTCTGTGTCTTCTATGTTTCAGATTTGGCCCTTTCACAATCACTTTTCATCAACACAGGTACTCACGTGTTATTTGTAGCACAAATGACATACACATGTGTGCAGCGAGGCCCTGGCAGGGCAAAGAGCATGGGGGAAGCTAGCAATTGATGTCCTTGATTTGTAAGCATCATCTATGCTAACAAAGCCTTTTACAAACGGTATCAGTAATTCTGATACTGATCACATGGTAAGGGACCTGTGATGTAGATTATGCCAGCTTTGGGGGGAGATGGTGCTTACATGTATCTGGGTGACTTAAGGTTTATCTCACATGTTTTAATCCTTATTCAAGTACTGCCTCTATCTTGCTACTTGTCAGTGTATTGTAATGGCCCGTCTAAGGTCAAGGACCTTAAATAGTCTCTTCCACATCCCTCCCTCGCACAGGGCCTGCCATGCAGGAGACACTCTGACAGATTTGTTGAAGAAAGAAGGAGAGGTAGAAAGAAAGGAAGCAACAAGTGAGTGAGTCACCCCTAGCCCTTAGCAGCCAGAAATGGCAGGATTTGGGACAGTGCTTGTGAGAACTAGAGCTCTTACCAGACTGGATGGTAATGGCTCCCTTCTGCCTCTTCTCTCTGACTCTCTTGTATCTTCGGGCTCCGAGCCACCCCTTGGTATATGCCTGCAGCACCACCACTCTGCCTATGACTTCTCGCAACAGCAAATTTAACTGTTCAACATGGTAGTACTTGAGGAAAACCTAAAAAGAGATATAGATTTAGCATCACCTAGGAGCTCCCAAACACAAATTCACTTTACTCTGCGGTAATTTTTTTCTTGCAATTAATATATATTTTTTTAAATTTTATTTTATTTATTTGTGTGTATGTACCATCAAATTGGATCTGACTGGTACAGGAGGAGATTGCCCCTCCTTCTCCAGCAGAGCATCTGGTGAATTCGAACCACACACCTCTGGGATTGCAGTGCAACGTCTTGCCACTAGGCCACCAGAGCTTGCCGCAATTAATGTTTTTTTCTAAAAAAATTTTAAACTGGTTTACCTACAGAGTTTGGTAATTTTAAAAAACATATTACAATCGTTCTTCAAGTAAAAGACAGTGATTTGATTTGTACTGATGTTATGATTTTCTTGGGGGCAAATATAACTCACTTCTAAGGGTGAGCCAACCATTGAGTAGTGACGTAAATCCTAAGGGGACATGCTGTTCCCCAAAACGAAGCACTGCACATGATAAGATTAATCATCAGGGAACTCAGTAAATAACACAACATGAGTCTAATTAAAAAAAAATAGGCAAAATTCTGAAAGAAACTCATCATTGCCATTAATGTGATTTATAAGTTTACACGTGGTGCTGCAATAGGCAGCTTTTAATAAAGAACATTCAAAAATGAACTTAAATATCTCATGCTAAAAAAGCTAAAATGTTCTGCAAACTACACAGAGAACAGAAAGCAAATCCTTGTCCTGTAATTCCTGAGGCCAGGCACCCCTGACCCAAGGTCATTTTTAGGTTGGGGTCTTGTCTGCTGAACTTCACAACTTATACTCACAGACCCTAAGACAAGAGACAAAGGCAAACAGAAGTGTCATCTAAGCAATAAAGAAAACAATACCTTTGTTTTCCCCAGCACCCAGTGATCTAATCTGGACTTTTCTAAGATAGCAAGACAACTCTCTTTGTTAGCAATAGGTGTTTGATGTGCTCTAAATGCCAAGTAATAATACCTAGAAAAAGAAAAGAGTTAAAAGTCAACATTTTCAGTACAGTGGAATTGCCCAATGATATGCCTGGTTTTAATAGTAAATATTTCTTGACCGCTACTAATTGCATATGAAAAACATACAATTGATACCAATAAACTTGGCTTTTATCTACTTTTCTATTTTCTGCTGTGCATATTTTCTTTTTATTATGACTTTGGAATTTATAATCAGTACATACTTGGTGTCTTTTGCATGCCAAATCAAAGTAATCCTTTCAGAAAGTGAACACGTAGTTTTCCTAGTGGAAGTCATTATTTTAAAATATCACTTTTATAAAAATGGTTAGTAATTCCATTGCACTTATTTTGACTCTGCCTTGAAAAATTTCATCTGATGCAAATAATAGATAGTAAAGAAAACTTCTGAAAAGATCTCTTTTTCTTTTTTTTTTTTGTCTTGAATTTTCCTCATTTTAAATATCCATGCAGAGGGAGCTCTGGTGACTCAGTCCATTGCCCGTGATGGTGCTAACCAAAAAGCCACACATCTAAAGTTCTAACCTACCAGCCGGCTCCACGGAGACAGATGGTCCGGCTCTTCTTGTTAAGATTTACAGCCTCGGAAACCTAATGGAGTGTTGTTGTTAGTCAAAATCAACTCGACAGCAGTGAGTTTGAGGTTTTTTTTAAAAATTATTTGTGCATTTACCAATTATCTTTAATTGCATGTCCGCTCAATTTCCAACTGCAGAAGTTGGTAGAAATCCTCAATTTTCCCATCATTGCCTTTAGATGTTGGTACATATTTGAATAATAGTCGTATTAACAGGTCTGCTTTGTATATGTATGGATACTATCCAGTTCTCAAAACATTGCATTTCAGGACAGATTAGACTAGACAGAAGAGCCAGAGCATTAGAAATATCACTGCTGATGTCTGATGGATCTTGGCTGGAAGCAAAGGATAGCAGAAGTATGTCCATTTGTAGCTTATTGATTATTGTTTGTTGTTGTTGTTATGTGCCGTCGAGTTGTTTTTGACTCATAGCGACCCTATGCACAACAGCCCTAAACCCTGCTCTATCCTGCGCCAACCGCACTGCCTCTGACACACCCATCCTGATTTGTGTAGATAATATCAAATTATGGTTGACACTGAGAAGAATGGGAATCTCAAAATACTTAATTGTGTTCATGTAAAATATATACCTAGACCAAGAAGTTGTAGTAGACTAGAGCAAGGGAACTTATTTAAAATCAGAAAAATGAACATCAAGGCTTTATCTTTTCTTCATATCTATTTAATCTGTATGTGGAGCAAATTACTGCAGAAGCTGAAAGAAGAATGTGGTATCAGGATCATAAGAATCCTCATCAACAACCTATGTCAGACAGATAACACAACCTTACTTGTACTGAGGATGACTTGAAGAGCTTGCTGCAGAAGAACAAAGACTACAGCCTTCAATATGGATCACATCTCAACCTCAAGAAAACAAAAATCCTTATCAATGGACCAACACTGTGGTAGATGGAGAAGAGATAGAAATTGTCAATGACTTAACCTTGCTTGGATCCATTTTCAATATGTTAGGCACCAGCAGCCAGGAAATAAAAAAGACACTGGCAAAGTCTGCTGTCAGAAACATCTCCAAAGTGCTTAAGAGCAACGATGTCAGCTTGAAAACTAAGGCACACCTGATCTAAGCCATGATCTTTTCAATTACTTGCTATGCATCTGAAAGTTGGAAAATGAATAAGCATGACAGGACAAGAATTTACGCCTTTTAGTTGTAGTGTTGAAGAAGAGTGCTGAATATCACATGGATTGCCAAAAGAACAAACAAGCATGTCTTGAAAATGATGCTCCTTGGAGGCAAAAACAATGAAACTTCATTTCACATACTTTGGGCATGTTGTTAGGAGGGTCCAGTATTGAGAAAGGACAACATAGTTGGAAAGGTCAGGGGGCAGTGAAGGAGTGGAAGACCCTCAACAAGATGGATTGATGCAGTGACTGTAACAGTGTGCATATGTGTGTCAGAGATGATGAGGATGGCACAGAATAGGACAAAGTTCAGATCCATCATTCATAGGGTTACTATAAATGGAAGTTGAATCAACAGCACTTGAATCAATGGCACTTAACCACATTAAAAACATCCAGTGAGGATGAAATATGTTTACGGCATTGAAGTCTATGGGGGAGAGAATAGTCTAAAAGTATTATATTTTAGGGCATTATTTTTATCGTAGGAGTATGCAATGAGGGTTGTAGAGTGGATTATATTTGGGGCTAGGGGGTGGGTTTTGGGGAGGTGCGGGGGGGGATTGTGTACCAATGAGGGAGTTTTTCTTTTGCTTTTCAAGGAGAGGAGCAAATGGGGGGGGGAGGGGGGAGGGGTTTGTGCGGGGAGAAGGGTGCAACAATGAATGAATGGAATCCCAAAATCTCTGTAGATGTTCATTGAAATAAAAAATAAACAACCTAAATTTAAAAAAAAAAATCCAGTGAAGAAAATGAAAACTAATATCTCTAATTGTTGTTGTTCTTAAGTGATGTCGAGTTATAGACGGCTCATAGCAACTCTATGAACGAAAGACCTGAACAATTGTATAACTTTCATCGTTTCTCCAAGTTCATAGAGTTTCTGGAGGCAAGCTATTTCAGAAGTGGATGCTACTCCTGCTTCCACCTTGTTTTAATAGCAACACAGAATATTTTTCTATACATATTAATTAAAAATTTATTAAAAAAAGTATTTGTATGTATGTTGAGCAGGGGGCTCTGGTGGGACTGTTGGTAGGGTGTGGCACTATTAACCCAAAGGCAGTGCTTCTTGGGCATTTTCAATACACCAGCTGCTCTTGGGGACAAGGATGGATAGTCTCCTCCCATGACAGTTAGATCCTCCCCAAACCCACTGGAGGCTCAAAACTGCCATAAGTTGGTTCCAACTCGACAATGAGTTTGAGTTGATATTATTTTTAAAAATGTTTGAAAATGGACCTCTTCTGTACTCTTAGCTGCCATCTATAATTTAAGTTTCACCTCTTAGAAGTTTAAAGAGACTAAATGGGTCTTAATTTCTTTGTTAAAGGATTTTCTTACTATTGCTGAGACAAGGCTTATTTGTTATCCTGGAATAAAATATGTTCCTTCTTCATGCCAAATATACTCAGACCATTCCATGTATGGAGAAGAAATAAACATACCTGAACATCACTAGAATTGCTTAACTTTTTCATCATGATGCAAGATTGTTTTCTAAGTTGAACTATAATGCAGATTTTGCTGGAAACAACAGCATTCAGATTCCAGGAAAGCTTCCATGACCTAGAGTCCCTGTTTTTGTCCTTGGGGAGGAGAGGTTGTGATCTCTCAGAACCCTTGAATGGTGACCAGAACCAGAAGATGTCAGATCATTTATCCAAGCCCTGACTGGTAACAGCAGACGTCTTCTGCCAATAGGTGCAGAAGGGACAGCCAGGGTCCAGCTTAGGCCTCACGATTTTGTGGTGCCAACGCAGGTTCTTTATTTTCAGTTTCCCAGGACTGCTATTTCAAATCACAGCTTCTGTGACTTGGCTTTGGCCAAGGCCAAGTGCATGCCAGAGTACATCAGGGTGGTGGAAATGAATGGCAATGCACTAGGAGACCAGTGTCTCAGGACCGCTGAAGTACAGATGGCTTAAGACATAAAGTAGATGGTAGAGCCTGGATTCCCTTCACTTCTTCCATTATGCCCAGTCGGTTATTATGTGTGCTCCCTCAGCTTTAATCTGACAAGGCTTGCTCATAGTGGGTGCTCAGTACTACTGGTTGTTGCTATGTGCTGTTGAATTAGAAGTGACTCTTTGTTGACCTCCCAGTGGGTTTTCAGAGGCTGTAAATCACACAGAAGGACACTGCACTTCTTTCTCCTTTGGTGAAGCTGGTGGATTTGAACCACTGCTTTTGATTTGGAAGCATGGAGAAGAAGTATTTAAAGAGAACCTAAAGAATGCCTAGTATTCTGTGAGATATAGGGAAAATGCAAGGTTTGTTCCAGTGTTACAGTAAAGGTTTTAGATTTGCTTTTAAGGGATCTGTGGCTGGTTGTAAGCAACTGCTAATTTCTTAATAGGCAGAATGTATCCTCTGAACTAGTAATATATACACTGAAACTGAACTCTGATTAATAGTCAAGATGTCAAGTCTGGCTGCAGGGATATGACCCAGCTTGATGGGGTCTGGAGGATAGACTTCCAAGATGGTTCACTCATAGGTCAGCTCATAGGAGGCAGTGGTGTTTTGCAATATGAGCCTTTCCATAGGACTGCTTGAGTATCCTTATGGCTTAGAAGATGCCTTTTTTTTTTTTTTCAGAAGGGAAGAGAGAGAGAGAGAGAAAGGAGAAATCTGGAAAGCTGTTATGATCTAGGCGGTGACTTCTGCTATACTCTGTTCTGTAGAAGTGAGCCAGACCATATTTAACAGAAGGGAGACAAAGCTCCACTTCTTAAACAGAGAAGGATCAAGGGATTTGTGTTTATATTTTGAAATTACTACAAGTGAACTGTATAGATCACCAAGTTTTCTTTCTAACTGATAAAGAAAACCACTTTCAGTGAGGGGAAGGAATTTGTCCAAGATCACAGAATAAATGATGAAGGCTAAGCATATTATACAAGTTTCCTGATTTCCAGAATATTGACTTTTTTTTTAAAGAAATGGTACAAATACAGCTAATGAGGTTGAATTGTGGGTGGAGGGAGAGTAAAATGAGTTAAGCAAAATATTCTCTTTAGAAAAAGATTTGTAAATTTGCCTACAAAAAAAAATAGGGTGAATTGATATTTTTAAACTTTATTATTTGCTTAGATATAACAGTTTTTCCGCATTACAATTTGGTTTTGCTCTCCATAAAGATTCTACAACAAAATGCTATTGTTTGAAGTATAGGAGACTTCACTAACGTATCAATTGTCTCAAATGTAAAATCTGATCTTCAAAGTATAATTGGAGGGGGAAAAAATAAA